TATTTGCAAATACTATTTTCCTTTTTTTTGTACTGATCCTTATACTGCAGCTAGTTTACGGAAAAAAAGATAATATTCACAACTTCAAACGCCTCAATCTCTTAATAATGTTCAATAAATTAGATCAAATTAATTACTACGACATCAGAAATATGTTTTTGTTGCAACGTAATGTATTGGAATTTTGATTTTCCATCTCATTAATTATCAAAAAAAAACATCTAACCTCCGTGAGTTTTCCCAAAAAATAATGCAGGTTTACCTCGTATTTTGATATTGAATTAAATAGAATTACTATAAAAAAACTTTCATAAAACTAATCTACCATCATTGAACTACTGAAATATGTATATATTTTTATAATTAGTTCATTAATAATTATTTTATAAGACTCGAAACATCACCCGTAAAATGCAATATATTACTAGTGCAAATCTACCTACGCGCCGATCAGTAAGGCAGTAAAAGGGCTCTTAAGACCATGAAAATGTGGTCTATTAGTTATTTAGGTTAGGTCACCCACTCCTGGGGCACAAACACAAGACAACGCCAAGCGTGACAGCATTTCGACTTCAGAGGTCGTGAAACACAATTTCTCTCTGTCCAAATGATTTATTGTACTTATTTAGTCTAAAATGACCAAAAAACTTTCAAATCTATATTTCCGAATATTGCACGTTTATTTGCATCCAAGTTAAGCAACAGTTAAGCAAATTGAAGCAATGGTGCATGGCGGTGTGCTGTGGTTGTGCTAACCAAGCAACATTTAAAACGTCAAATCTTCCGGAAAAATGTGCAAATGTAGCCCTTATTCGTAATGTATTAAAACCTTCTTTGGAATGCAATTCAAAATGTTGCTTTTCAACGCGATGAATTCAGATTTTGTTGCTTTCGGAATAAAGATTTCATTTAAATATATGTATAAACTGAGTTTCCTCTGCGGTTTCGCGGTTGCATTGCACCTATTAACATTTGTGCGGTTAGGATGTTTTTAAGGTTTAACGGAACAACGGAAAACGACAACGGAACTCTACAACTAAGCATCGGCTTCGTGTCCGTCCGTCTGTCAGCGGGATGTCTCTCGTTAACCTTAATAATCAGTTAAAATAAAAATATCACACACTAGTCATCATTTTGTAAATATGTATTATAATTCCATCTGTACTGAAAATCACTATTCCAGAGTGCTGGACACTTACCGGCATTTCTCTATATTCTGTTATTTATTTGTTTTCATTAATTTTGCTCCGATTTTATCTATTTTCAGTTTATTTATTTTATTGACATTTGTGACAACTTAATGTTTTTTATCCGTTGCCATGGCTAAAAGTGAAAGGTGCGCAGATGAGGTTGCGCACAAAAACGTAACGAGGTCATTAATGTCATTCATCGATAGATTTTTACTCCTCACATTTTTCTCATACCGGGTCCCTTATATATGCAAATCGATTCTTAAGGAGTAAACTCCAATAATACAATAAATAATTAAATATTTCCAACACTCACACCAATTAGCCTAGCTCTAAACACTAGGTAGGCTTGTGTTACGGGATACTAAGATAACGGATAAAATACATACACCGATACAGTATATTTATATAGAAATACATATTAAACATCCATGGTTGGAATACAAATGCTCGTATTCATCACACGAGCATCTGCCCCCACCGGGATTCGAACCCGGGACCTCTCGAGTCGGCGACACCATGAAACCCGGCGTACAAACCACTCGACCACGGAGGTCGTCAATATGTAAAATAGTATTACTGTTAATTTTAATAACAAACATGCAGTCAAATATACTATCCACAGCTTACACATTAGGTCTTTACAATTTGTAGTGTTTGTTGGATTAATGGTGTTTTTTTGTTAAAAGAGTGGCAAAACGACCTCTGTGAAGTTAGCCCCCCACTTTTTGATTTTTATTATTATCCAGGTTGTTCTGGATTGTTCTATGTTTGTTCTACTTTCTTCCAAAGTATTATTTGAAAAAACTAAAATGTTTGGATATTAAAATTTTAGTTATTTCAAATAATACTTTGGAAGAATGTTAGGAACAACTTAGAACAACTAAAAAAATGTTGAATTTCCAAAAATGGGGGGTTATATGAGATGCGGTTTTCTTTTTGCCTGACAGCTTCACACTTTAGTTTTATCAAATAATACTTTGGAAAAATGTTAGGAACAACTTGGAACAACTAAGAAAATATTTATTTTCGAAACATGGGGGTTATCTGAAGAAGATTTTTGGAGTTTACTCCTTAAGAATCGATTTGCATATATAAGGGGCCCGGTATGAGAAAAATATGAGGAGTAAAATCTATCGATGAATGACCTCGTTACGTTTTTGGTGCGCATCCTATGTCGCGCAACTTTGACAAACAAAGATGACGGATTGACATTAATAAAAATTTTAAAATCTGTATTGAATTTAGATATTGTTTCTGATAGAGCAATGGGGACAACGAGGTATGGTACAACCAATGATGCAGTATTTTCAAGATTCGTGAACCACGTATCTACGAACGTCCATGTGTCTTATTTTAGTTACCATGAACCACTTGTCACTGTTATTAATAATGCAGACAATGTTGATTTAATTAATATTTAAAAAAATGATAATAGTCTGATAATAATAATTACATAATTTATCAACATTCCTAATGATATATTTATGCACATCTGAAATTGACTATTATAATAAGTTTAATGTAAAATATTTCGTCGATTAGTTATAATAAATGTATATGAAATGAATAAATATATATTTATATATGTATATTATTTTCATTAATATGTTAATTTACCCTTTCATACAGTATCAATCTTTTTTAAGTTAAATAAACTCTTTTTGCGTCTGGTTAGGCTATCGAACTTAAGGAGTAAACTCCAGTCGTGCGTCGGAGCTGACACACACAATTTTTTTTTTTGTCTGACAGCTTCGAATTTAAGTTTTTTCAAATAATACTCTGGAACAATGTAGAACAAACATAGAGCAATCCAGAACAACCTGGATAATTATAAAATTCAAAAAGTGGGGTACTAACGGCACAGAGGTGGCAAAATGTCTGGTCTATCTGATGGTAAGTGGCCACCATAGCTTAAAACTTAAAACGCTTTCAAAACTAAAAATATCCCTGGCACCTGGCGACTGGAACCGTTATCAATTTAATAATTCAGACATTTCCCGCTTTATATAATAATTTGATTACCTTTCTAAATTGAATAATTCGACCTCATTACGTGCCTGTGTTGAGGTCATTTTTATAATAAAAATGGGTACAACTTGTAGGAGAAAGCAAAAGGCAGCACCTGTTTATTTCTTGTCAATACGTTTACAGGACAAGGTCTACCATAGAAGTTGATGTTTTTAGACATAAAATTTTATCTAGTAATAATAGTTGATTATATTTTTATTTTAAGCATATAACTGTTAAGTTTTAATGCAGACAGAATTTATGTATAATAACTTGTTTTGTGGGAAATGTCTTTTGCGATAGCGTGTGGGGAGAGGAAGAGAGAAATGTTTTTTTTTTCTCTTATTTCTTTTTAAATGGCTGTGGCAGAGATATTTTGATACGTTCAGCCAAGCATGTTTTGTTTTTATTTTTATTCCTGGTTTTTTATTTTGTTTTCTATTTTTTTATGTTATTTGTTGTTCTTGTTATTATTGTTATATTATTCGTGCGACACCAAACCGGTTCCAACGGAAGACCAGCGCTAATGGCAACATTAGCACTATGTCTGTGTTCGGAAGGCACATTAAGCCGTTGGTTCCGGCTGCATCTGCAGTCGTTAGCACCCGCCCTGGGCCCTCGTGGTGGGTCATGGCACAATCTCCCTATTCCATCCATAGGGAAGGCCTATGCCCCAGCAGTGGGGACATTAATAGGCTGATGATGATGAAATTTCAAAGTTAAAAATTAAGTGATTAACTTTTAAATTATGTATTACAAGGGTATTCAGTATAAAAAGTCTATTATACTAATATAAATAGTATAATTATTTATTAATTATATTAAATAATTATTGGAACGAAGTTCCATACGGCAGACTTGGAGGGGATAGGGATTTTGCTGCGCGACCGAACTGAAAAAAATGTGATAGTAAAACCGTAACAAAAAATCCGTGGAAAAAAGTGCGTGGAATAAAACCGTTAAATGAGACGTGCGCAGGCGCGACAGTCCCATACACAAGCGAGTTTGCAATTTGTGTCGATTCTACATTAGCCGAAGGAACTTCGTTGCTGCCTGGTGTCCCACGACACCACATCATTTTTTTAATTAAATAATAAGATGGCGTAGCTTTCCGACTTTCAATAAGTTTCTGTGATTGGTCTTAACATTATAATTATATTTGACTTTATTAAATCCACAAAATCGCTGAAAAAACTTTGTTAAATATAAATACCTAACTAATATTTTTTTACATATATCTGTAAATACTTATCTTGTCATAACTGCCTTACATCACGTTTAAGTTATCGGAGAGATCGAAATGCAAAAATGTTACGCATCAAAGGTACCTACCGACGAGTAACTTACATCACCGCTCGTCGTTTGCAGGGCTAAGTTATAATTAAGTTTGTTACCGATGACATTTTAATGAGTAGGTAAAAATCATCGTTTATTACAGCCACCGAGACTATTATGAACTTGATGTATGATTATATATTTCATGATTTGTTTTAAGATTTGATAATTTGATTACGCAGTATTTGTTTGGTAAGTTTTTTTTTAAATTCTCCCTTTTCACGGAAGGCAAAGGGAACGATGCACATTCAGCCTAGTCTTAAGTTTTATTAATCTTGTTTTATTTATATAACAGTGTAGGTGTGACTCATTCTAATGTTTCTTGGAGTGTTTGGCACGAAATGTTTCTAGTTGTTTTTTTCGATAAGGTTCTGTGATCTAGTCAACACTACAATAAAGTTCTCATATCAACGTTAGTAAAACCCTGTTAGTGACCCTGACGTAAAGTAAATAAAGACAACTCACCTAGTAAACAACCCGGCGTTTGTGAGACCATGTTTAGTCTCACCAGCCTTGATGTACAGCTTGCAGGCGTCATGCTGCCGGCAGCAGGTGTCGGTGAAGAAGAATAGGCCCAGCTCTCCCGAACGAGCCGTCGCCGAGTGGCCGTCACCACACCACACCGTACCTATGAAGATACTCGTCATCATCAGCAAAAAAATTCACAGATCTCGTGCTCTACACGACTTGAAGGGACTTTGAAAATGAATCTACCTATTACAGATATTAAAAAAAAAAACGACTTTGCCAAAATATTTTTTTTCATCATCTTAAAGTCTCTCATACGTCCTCGTGGCCACAACAATACACAAACATTTAAACATACATTCAAACAACGTTATTTCATTAGTTCCGATAGTCATTACTAGATGGCGTTGCTTGTCATTTGAATCATGCTTGCCTTTGTGTTCGAAAATTGTATATAGTCTAAGATCTAAATTTGTACTTGGGGAATAGCACCGAAATTGCAACCAAGCTGCCGGCAACAGGTGTCGGTGAAGAAGAACAGGCTAGACTTGGGCGTTTTTGGTGTTGAACGCAAACGGATATTTCTACCTATTATAGATTATTCAAAAAATAATAAACCGGCTTTTCAAAATTAAAAAATACGGTCTGATATACCTAAATAAGAAATCGTGTGTACCTATGACATTTTAATATTCATTTTGTGTATGACATTGGTAATACTATTAACTTGACTTTTGATTTTTAATTATTTTATTTGATGGGAATTATTGAATTTAAATTATGTAATTTATTAAATTAAACAAATGATTAGTTGTATTTTTAGTCACATGTGCCAGGTGCCTATTTCTATAGTAATTGAATATGTATTATTATTATGAGTTATGTTGCTCGAAATAAATGAATTTTATTTTATTTTCCAAAAATATTTTTACATCATATTAAAGTCCTTCGAATTCTGTCTTTTGAGCTCTCATACGTCCTTATGGGCATATTGCACATGGTGCTGCGCAGAACTCGCTGCTAAGGGCACTCCTACTGCCTCAACCGTCACCAACCAATCTCGAAATAAGTGTAATGACCTAAAATGTTCCTTGGTTCAAAAACGAGATGATTTTCTTTTTCATATTTTTGAAATTCGACCCCGTGCTCGAGATATCGGCAATTAAGCACAAGATTTTTCAGTCAAAAAAAGTCGTTTTTTTTTCGATTTCCAAAAAAGTTTTAGAGTTCACTATTTCTCTACATCCAACTAAAAATAATAATTTCTAACTATATACATTTTTTCGGGCATGCAGGTTATACTTAAATCTTCCTCTTGAATCTGTGTTTTAATTATGGACTGTACGTTGACTCATTACTCATTGAGTTGTTGTTACTCATGTGATTTGATTTGGTGGTGGAAACTGCATTATAATCCGTTAGCCAATTTAAATGATCTAAGCGTACGGACAGCAGGTTACTATGTTTTTTTTTTATAGATAGACTCCACCCCACCTCATGTTAAGTGACAGTGAAGTCCAGACGCGAAGATAGCTGGTACAGCAGTTCTACTTGACACACCAGCTAACCCTGTCGGCCTGCATGTTGATTCTTCACGCCTCTTTTAAAGGATCCCAGGACAGTGTGTTAAGACTCAATTCACATAGTATTTTAAGACACAATTCCTACGTCTTTTACTCACCTGGGTAAATCGCCTGCACCCTGTCCTTGAACGAATCTACCAGGGAGTTAGCAGCATTGGCGACGCTGGTGACTCCTGAGGCCAAGCTGCCGACGAAGCCCCGGTCGCTGTCCAGGGACCCGAAATCCCTGACTCCTGCCATCAGCTGGCTTAGAGGCTTGCTCAGTCCGGACGAAATGCTCTTCAGGATACCCCGACCGAATTGACCTGGAAAAGGACTTATATTATTATTTAACTAGCAAACCAGTGAACCAAATGTTCACCAAAACCTGATTTCTCGAAAACCGTAAGTGCTACGTTACTCAAATCCGGTTTGTAGTCTTATCAGACTATTCTCAACTTATAACTTAAATATTCTCTTTATCTATCTCTTACGGTTTGGCCGCTGAAACAGCACCACAGACGGACGGACGGACTTGTCTAATAGATAAGAGATACTTTCTATGGATTTAGTTAAAGTTGACGCTGAGTTTTGGGCAGAAGTAATGAATATATTTTTTTTTAAAGAGATGGGTGTTTTTGACTGTAAAGAAAATTGTTTGCAGTGCCTTCTCCGGGTCCGCACTCGCAAATATGGTTTTTCCGTTCTTCTTGGCAGCTAAAAGATGTCCAGAAAGGGTGTTACGAAAGAAACATTTAAAGTCGTTTCAAAAGAGCATTTGAATTGACCATTTCTTTAAAATAAACAAAGCATTATATATATATAATAATGTTATAACATTAAAATTTACCTAATTTTATTATTAATGTAATTTAATACACTTTCAAACACGTTAGCATTTTAAATGATAGAATAAATGAGACAGTGAGGAGCTCGATGGCGCAACTGGTTAACGCGTTCGGCTGCGATCGTTGAAGTTAAGCAACTTTCGAAGTGGTCGGTCATTGGATGGGTGACCAAAAATTTACTATCTCGAGCTCCTCCGTGCTTCGGAAGGCACGTTAAGCCGTTGGTCCCGGTTGCATCTGCAGTCGTTAGCACCCACCAATCCGCACTGGATCCGCGTGGTGGGTCATGGCCCAATCTCCCTATTCTATCCATAGGGAAGGCCTGTGCCCCAACAGTGGGGACATTAATAGGCTGATGATGATGATGAAATGAGACAAACTCTGACTCCGAAGCAAAATTTTTGCTTAAAATTGCTTATTCGTGCTCAAATTGATTTAGTCACTTAACATCTGTAGAAAAATAGCCGAAACAACACAATGATAGCTGTCCAACATAATCTATAATTACATAACAAGCAATCTCACAATTCTGTTAACTCTTTTTTAAACTTACAATCAGATTTCGAAATCTATTTTATTATAAATTTATAAATAAAGTGAAGTAACAATGGAACAGTCATGCTTTATCACAAGATTATGTCACAGCAGCGTCTCAAATCACTTGCCGTTAGGCTTGTTGAAAATATATCGATGTATCGATATATCGATATTTTGATTCGATGTATCGATACATCGATACAAAATAACCAATATCGAAATTCGGATCAAAATCGATATTTTTTTAAATATTAGCGGCATATCACGATCCGACTAAATTCGTATCTGGAAAAATCGTAACTGGATCTCAGATTAAAGATATTCAACATATCTATGATCTGTGCTGTATTAAGTACTGTCTATGATTTGTAAATCTGTTTCGCTGGTGAATTGGTTGTGCTGAATTCCATTATATTCTGTGGAAGTGTGTGACTGTCTAGTCTTGTTTCAAAAATAGGGTCTATTTTAGGTAGATAATTTTCGTTCCATTACTATTCCGCGTGTCATCTTTTGTGAGATACTGTTGTTAACTCCAGGAAATAATAATCCCAATCTTGATTCGTTTACAGGCATTTAATCTTCAATAAAGATAATTACAGATTTGCTAATATTAATAAGTATAATGTGTATGCAATCAAAGGAAGCGAGTACAATTTTCTGCGTCTTGTCTTCTCTCAAGCCGTTATAATAAAAAAACGATTGTTGCCGACAACGCCCGTCGGCCGCCGTCGTGATCATTCGGTAGTGTTCGGCGGTTCGCGTATTTCCCGCGCGTAGTTCAAGCGCGAACATCCTCCCCCGTTGAAGAAGAATTCTTCAACTCTTCAGTGCTGGACTCGTCAAAATGAAGAGGACAAAGTCGACTCAAAGCTCTTCGAATTACTCCATTGCTAGTACAAATGTCCGCGACTCGAGGAATTCCATCTTTACCAGGAAACAAAGCTTGGATTCTCCCCATTCTCCACTTTAATGGTGGCAAGTTGTCTTCTTTAATAATAACCAAATCTCCTTGTTTCAAACTGTAATATTGCTGCTTCCATTTAATACGATGCTGTAGTTCTGCTATATATTCGTTATGCCAGCGTGACCAATAGTGTTGTCTCATTTGTTCCAACTGATTATAGCGATCCAATCTGCTGATCTTTGCGTCTATCAACTGCGGCGATGGAAGTGCTGTCATTGGCCGTCCGATGAGAAAATGCCCAGGTGTGAGAGGACAAAGGTCACTGGGATTGGAGGACATGGGACAGATAGGACGAGAGTTAAGGATAGATTCTATTTGAGCGAATAACGTCGTAAGCTCTTCAAAAGTTAAATGTCTCTCGCCTAAAATTCTTTTTAAATGAAATTTGGCCGACTTTACACCGGCCTCCCATAGTCCGCCAAAATTTGGTGCATACGCTGGTGAGAAATGAAATTTGATTCCTTCATCGGAACCAATCCGAGTTAAATCATTTTTATTATGCAAAATTAACCTATCCAATTCATTCTTAGTTCCCACAAAATTAGTACCGTTATCGCAAAATATATTCTTTGGTTTACCACGTCGTGCAATAAATCTTTTTAAGCTCAAAATAAACGCATCTTTACTTAAATCGCTTACCGCTTCCAGATGAAGAGCCTTGGTCGCAAAACAGACAAAAATACATAAATAACATTTGCTTATTTTGCAACCACGACCCTTTCTATCAGTTATATAAAAGGGACCTGCGAAATCAACGCCTGTTGTTTCAAACGGTATTCCCGGAGTGAGACGTTGGTTTGGCAGATTACCCATTAAAGGCTGCAGTGTCTTTGCTCGAAAACGTTTACAGATTCCACATTTGTGAGGTATACTTCTGGCAAGGTTTCTACCGTTAGTGACCCAAAACTGCTCACGTACCGCGGCTAATAGCAATTGAGGGCCCGCATGCATAAGACGCCTATGTTCATGTTCAAAAATAAGGACTGATAAGCGATGCTTTACGTCAAGAAGCATGGGATGCTTTTTATCGTAGCTAAATTTCGAATTATCTATTCTACCACCAACTCTAATCATACCTACTTCATCCAAAAATGGGTTCAGAGACAAAATCTTAGATTTGGGGTCTAAAAACTGTTTTTTCTTCAGTGCCTGTATTTCTTTCCCGAATGACTCTGACTGAGCTAATTTTACTAAAGCATCTATACTGTTTTGTAATTCCTCTGTAGTTAAATATGACGATGTAATTTTTACTTGCGATTTTTGACAATTATTTATGAATCGTAATATATAGCCCATTACTCTCTTTAAGGTATTCAAATTAGAATATTTATTAAATATTTGAGATAATTCATTATCTACTACAGTTTGCAAGATAATAATTTTTTCATCATAGTTATGACATCTCTGCGAATTATACTTTTTGGCAGGCCACTGTGACTCATCCTGAGTTAAGAACTCGGGGCCTCCCCACCAAAAATTTGCCATTTTTTCCTCAAATTTATCTACACCCCTTGAAACGAGATCTGCGGGGTTCGCATCGGTGGGAACATACCTCCATTCATAATTTTCTGTCAAAGTTTTAATTTTGTTTACTCGATTTGCCACAAACACTTCTAATTTCCGACTTGCAGAGGTATGTAGCCACCCGAGAACTACCATTGAATCCGTCCAATGCACACAACGCCCTACCTGGCAACGCAGGACTTGCCTAACCTTGGCGCTCAACTCAGCAGCTAGCAGCGCACCGCACAGCTCAAGTCGTGGGATCGTCGTGGACTTCAAGGGAGCTACTCTTGATTTTGCGCATAACAGCTTTACCCAAACCCTTCCATTCTGATCCACTGAGCGTATATATGCACAGGCGCCATATGCTGCTTGAGAGGCGTCTGAAAATATATGTATATCAATAATTTTTACATTTTTACAAAACACATGTCTTGGCACATTCACACAAGACAGTGAATTAACCGAATTTACAAAGGTTGACCACATTAACATAATCTCGTCTGTCACCTTTTCATCCCATTCTAATTTGCATTTCCATAAATGTTGCATTATTAACTTTGCCTTAATAATAAATATACTCAACAAGCCAAGAGGATCAAATATTTTAGCTATAGCAGATAGCAAGTTTCTTTTTGTAATATTTTCCATTGTGGAAATACTTACGGGAAAAATAAAACTATCGGACAAAGGTGACCATGTTAACCCTAACGTTCCCGTAGTCGCTTTTTCATCTGCTATTATATGATTATCACTAGAGTTACTTTCATTGAATTGAACATTTGAATTTGTACGAAATTTCCTCAAATTGAATCCTGCCGATTTCAAAACATTTATAATTGATTTAAATGTTGTTTCTAATTCCTTCTCAGTTTCAAATCCTGTCAAAATATCATCGATGTAATAATCGTGTTCGATAATACCCTTTATTTTCGGGTTATTACATTCTTGAGCTAATTGATGAAGGCAACGCGTGCTCAAAAAAGGCGCAGACGCAGTACCATATGTGACCGTGTTTAGTTTAAAATATTGCAACTTCTCGCCTTCATTTTCTCTCCATATTATCATTTGCCAATGTCTATCACTTTCGTCGACCATTACCTGCCTATACATTTTTTCTATGTCTGCCGTAATGACAAAACTATGTTGTCTAAATCTCAATAAGATGCTAAACAAATCATCTTGTATAATCGGACCGACAGCCTGCACATCATTTAACGACCGCCCGGAGTTGGTCTTCGCAGATGCATCAAATACCACCCGAAGTTTCGTCGTTTCACTTTTCTCTCTCAGCACCGGGTGATGCGGTAAATAATAAGCAGGGTCGCATTTACTAGAAACTGATAAATGACCTAATTCCTTATATTCGTTTATAAATCTTACATATGATTCCTTTAAATCCGGTTGCTTTCTAAATCTTTTTTCTAAGTTATAAAAGCGTCTCTTTGCAATAAAAAGTGAATCACCTAATGTG